GGGGGGGGGGGTAACGGCGGCATGCCAATCATCAAAATGGGTATTGGAGCACACAAACGGGAGAACGACTGTTCTAAAGAGATTGTGCTTTGCCGAAGAGTGACCGTCGGAATTCCGACGGTCAAATTCCAACTTAGCAGTTTGGAAGGTCGGTCTGAATTCCGACTATAGGAAATTCAGAAGTCAAGTCGGTCGGATTCCGACCGAACCGTTCCGACAGTCGGTCGCAATTCCGACTGTCGGAATGATGAAATTTTGTGTCGGTCGGAATCCGGCCGACATGAAAATTCGCTGAAATGCCATCATTAGTAGGTGGTGGATAAAGTGACTTTGATATGTTTTATTATCAATTAGTACCAGTTGAGTGCAGAATCATCAATTTCAACATCAATTGATGTCTGACTATGTTATTCGGTTGTGAAGGATTTGGAAGATAATGATGTATTCGGTGCAGGATGATGGTATCGCATTCTTTGAACCATACCCAGTTTGAATGGAGTCCTTATTAGTCTAAGAGTACTACGCTATGATGAAATTAATATGATGAATCATTGACATCCGATGATAAGCTTATCCTAGCCTTATCAAAGCCTACGCTAAAGTTCGCATATGTCTTTGCTTCATCCTTTCAATTAGCTGCCAAATCCTGCTACATTCTGTGTCGTTGTCAAGTTTGATATCATTCTTATAGAGTGGCAGCAAACGATTGAAAATTTAATTGCCATATCATTTTACAATTGTTTGTTTTTTTCATTTGATCGATGTGTTATTTTTAGGAGGAAATCAAAATCGACAACTCGTTACGTGAAATTTACATCGTTTAACTATTTTGCAAATTACCTGAAATTACAGATTATGTCAATGGTTAAGCAAACTTATAGCGGCAATTATGATTTCATATACTAGTATATAATCGAGTCCATCGATTCTGAACATACGAATCACCGAAAGATAGTACCGCGTATGACCGTCTCGTCAGAGACTCACGTTGTTGTTTTAAAGTAGAACTTTTGCTCAATTGGATATGTCAAAAATCACAGCTTATCTGATGATTTCTTGTATTCCCGGTGTGTTTTTTGGAGTATCAGTGCTTGTGAGAGAACCTTCACCTGATGCATCTCTATATTTAGGTATAGGCACCCTCCACAAAAGTCAGACCGATATGACGGGATCAAACGCGGAATCAAATATTACTCTTGCTTCACTCTTTTAGCTTATGGCTGATCGTCCATGCAGCCCGCCTTCTTCAGATAAGATTTTATAACAGCTCGCAGCATTATTTCACCCTTCCTTCAACGTTCTGATTCATCCGTCATCATTATTGAGGTCACTTCGCCAGTGATAAATTTATGGATATCACTGTTTCATTCTCTGTCAAATAGACTTCTCATTTCATGAATACATTGGTGTGCTTTGCTAGTTATTTATTTAAGCGCATAGTTCAGCAGCATATTCAGATTAATTTCTTGTCACTAATGCACCGTTGAGCTATTTGGGTAAAACTCATTAAGAAATTAATGATAGCTTTCGATTGGTTCGATTAGTTTGGCGAGGAGCTATTTCAATTTATTGCACTCTTCCTTGATTACTGCCATTCCAATCGTAGGTAAGCATATCGTCTGGTTGTTTATTAACGATTTCGTTAATCAGCGGATTGGGTGATAATAAAAGTATATGAAACGGTGGTGAAAGCGA